AAATATGTATAGAACGATCTCGCTCATTTGTTTCGATACCACATAATGACGTGTCCCGCAGGCAATAATTGTTCCCCTTCTATAAAATTTCTCGATTATCAGCTATTAGCAGCATATATCACATAGTTCATATTTAAATTTTTTTTTAAATTCTCGTTTATACGTTTTTCAAATAATCTTAAGAATGTTTCATTACCGCATTCCATTTGAGAACGCTGTAACCTGAGGAAAATCTCCTGTGTAGATCGAAAACGTTTGTGTTTGCATTAAAATCTTCTGGAATTGTACTTTTAAGGTTCAGAGATGTGCTGTTTTTATGATATATATCATTATATCGGACAGAAATATATGATTAATTTTACATTACTAGTTACCAACGACCCAGATAAAGTAGCCATTTTGTAAAAATGCAGCGTAGACAACGAAAGCTCGATAGAAAGGGGCGCGAGAGGGGAATCCCCGCGTTAAGTGTTTATTTTATCACTTGCAACGAATAAATCAGTTCGGCCTAGGACAAACTAGTTTAGCCTAAAGTATTTAGGCCAAACTAGATTGTCCTAGGCTAAACTAGTTTATCCTGACACGCGTAGGACAAACTAGTTTGGCCTAAAATCGGGTTTGGCCGGTAACATATATAAAATGTAGCCAAAGTCTGAATTATATCATCAAATTTATGCCTAATTGACCAAGTTAATTTTAGACTAAGTTTATAAGAAGATTGATTAAACTAACAGATTTAGATTAAAGAGTAAACAGTTAAGCTGACATCTTAAATCAACATTACTATAGTAGAATTTGCTTATTGTAATTATGTATATTGTTATCAGTTGTATAATGCTATCATAATTAGCATGTTCCAAAACATGCTAATTATGATAACATTATACAACTGATACAAGTTAAAATGCGCTATAATAATTTCATTTATTGTAATCAGAATTGAGGATGTATAAACTGACATCACAAATAGTTTTTGACATTTTTAAAAAATAGTCAATTTTACAATTGTATAAACATTACATATGAAATTATTTATACTAATATTATTGTCTAGAAAATTAAATATAATGAAAAGCTATATTATGTAAAAAAGTGTTTTAAATGGATCATATTTCTGAATTTTTTTTTCACAGAATATTATGTGAAACAGTTAAAGAAATTATTACAAGAGTAGGAGCAGCATATGCAACAGGAGATGGTGAACAAGATAAAGATAGTATTTCATACAAAGTAAAGATTTAATATTAGATAATTTATCTTAAAATTATTAAATTAAGAATTTTATTTTAATAAAAATACTTAATCATGAAAGGATGTAATGTATTTTAATAAAAATACTTAATCATGAAAGGATGTAATGTATTTGCAATATCTTATAGATCATATAATAAAATATTTTAATGATTTAATGAAAATAATTTAATGATATAGTAAATAAAATTGGTGCTCTTCCACTTCATTATCCACGTGCAATATGATATTGATCATGACTTTTGCATGTGTTATGCAATGTGATGGTGAATAGTGTGTGCTTAATGCTGTTTTTAGTATTGGGAGCAAAGATGTTTCACCCTCTGTGCTCTAGAATGGACTTATAGAAAGGGCAATTTAATGAAAAAAGGGGTTTGGAATTTTCATGTAATGCATTTTGAAAGGGGGAAAAAAGGAAATATAAGTTTGAGTTGTACAAAATATATTAAAGAAATTACCAGTTATGTTAAACAGAATTATTAATGTCTGTTTTGTTGTCCATCTAATTACATGCTATATGTATAGGAAAAATTAACAAACTGGATAACAGAACATATGTTTCTATATCTGTGCTTTTATCCATCTATTTACATGCTACACTTTAACTAAAAAGAATTAAAGTGGATAAGAACATAGATATTAATAAGTGTATTTTGTTATACATCTGCAGTTTTTGCATGCTAGACATAAAAGAGAAGCAATCAAACTGGATAACAAAACATACTTTGTTCTTCTTTTTAGTGTAAATTTTAATAGCTGCTTCTGTTAACTTAGTAATGTTCCAATTGTCATTTCTTTGAAGTTCACTGAATTTATATATATATATATATATATCATTTATCTGCATCAAATTAAGCATAATATTTTATTCAAAACTATCAGATTTAAATAGAAATATATCCTTTATAAAGTCAGCACACCTTAATACTGAGAAAGCACATTCATTCAGCTAAACAAACGTTTTCAACCCATTCCATGGGCCATCATCAGGTTAAAGACGTTCAATTCAATGGCTTTTCGAATAACACATTCAAATTTAAATTATATTAGAACATATACAGTACATTGAAATCAAATTAAGCAAACAAGCATAACGAAATTAATACAATAAATAAGAAAAATAAAATAAAATATACGGTAATTCCCCACAATACAATATGTAAAAAATTTTTTATAGTAACTCAGGTTTTTATTGAGCCTGGTGGATGTGTCATCTTACGAGTTCTCTCTGATTATATATTTCCAGACGATGGTAAAATGGTTGCATCCTTATAGTTTAAACATTTTTCCGTTAAGCTAGATCTGTAGATCTCACACTTCTCTGTTGTGAATGCAGGCATTGGCAAGTGCACATTTGCAACAATTCTGGCCTCTTCCCATTTAACTATGGATCCATCAGTCTGTGCTATCTTTGATAACGCTGCTGTATATCGGCTTTTTTCTATGTTGTACTTATGCTCTTTCACCTTTACATTAGATTTCTATTTGTGACTCCTATATATTCTTTGTCTATTCCCAATTGGTCATTCTTGTATGGTATTGCGTACATTCCTGGTTGTTCTTTCTCATTAATTTTTTCTTTGTCATTTCTGAGCAACGTATATAAGGTGGGAGCTCTTTTATATACAATATTAGTGTTTTTATAGTTTGTGATTTCTTTCATAACCGGGGATAGATGTTTATTATATGTGAATTTTGTGATGTTGCTGCTTCCATTTGGTTTTTCTTTTTGCCCTTTCTAGGATTGTTGTATGCGGTAATTAGGCGTTCTACAGTTCTTCCTCCAAATCCCAACACTTTTGCCACTTCTTTAATTCTATTCAGCTCTTCTACCGTATCTATCATGTTAGAGCAATAAAGGAATGCTCTATTTGCTCAGAAATGACAAAGAAAAAACTAATGAGAAAGAACAACCAGGAATGTATGCAATACCATACAAGAATGACCAATTGGGAATAGACAAAGAATATATAGGAGTCACAAATAGAAATCTAATGTAAAGGTGAAAGAGCATAAGTACAACATAGAAAAAAGCCGATATACAGCAGCGTTATCAAAGATAGCACAGACTGATGGATCCATAGTTAAATGGGAAGAGGCCAGAATTGTTGCAAATGTGCACTTGCCAATGCCTGCATTCACAACAGAGAAGTGTGAGATCTACAGATCTAGCTTAACGGAAAAATGTTTAAACTATAAGGATGCAACCATTTTACCATCGTCTGGAAATATATAATCAGAAAGAACTCGTAAGATGACACATCCACCAGGCTCAATAAAAACCTGAGTTACTATAAAAAATTTTTTACATATTGTATTGTGGGGAATTACCGTATATTTTATTTTATTTTTCTTATTTATTGTATTAATTTCGTTATGCTTGTTTGCTTAATTTGATTTCAATGTACTGTATATGTTCTAATATAATTTAAATTTGAATGTGTTATTCGAAAAGCCATTGATTCGAACGTCTTTAACGTGATGATGGCCCATGGAATGTGTTGAAAACGTTTGTTTAGCTGAATAAATGTGCTTTCTCAGTATTAAGGTGTGCTGACTTTATAAAGTTAAAGAATCTGAGTGTGAATAGGAGAGAAATATATCCAACTAAATTTAGGAAGATTCAGAAGTTAACAATATTTTCACAGATTCAGAGTTCAAAAGAAAGTTAAACAAAATTTAAATTAATGACAGCAACATTTAATTACATGAAGACAGCATTTTTCATTTCTAACAAAAAATAATGCTTATATTAATTTACATAATAGTTGTGTGTGTTTGTATAATAATTGAGAGAATGAACATGTTAATGAATGAATAATGCCCAAATTGCAAGCTTTAATATAACAATAACATATATGCTTGGAAAAGGAGAGTAAAGGAATTGAAATCAGATAGATTAATGAGATAAAGCTTATTCAGTATTTCATTTGCTTTAACTTAAACTTTTTTCTAATTTATCTAGGTCTACTCTTTGAAATGAAAGAGTTATATTATCTTCAATATTATCTTTTATCATTTCCAAAATATCCTTTTAAGATTTTTTAATGTTTGAGATATATGTTATTCTTTTCAAACTTTCTCTTTTTTCACTGTTTATTCTAGAATACTTATAATTTGTCTTTTTAAAGTATTGAACAGAATGAAAACTTCATTTCTTTTAAAGTATTCTGTTATCTTTTTTGAAGTATGATGTAATACATAATACTAATATTAATTTAATATATCTAACTTTTCAAACCTGTCAATCATTTTTGTGGCTAACTATATGGAAACAAAGAAGGTTTAAGAATTAACTTATCATTTATTTTCAGATTAAGTCTAAACTGTAAATTTTCATCTAGTGTCATTATCTAATCTAACCATATCAACTAACTATTTTCAATTTGTACAGAGATTAATCATATTATGATTATTCTCTGTACAAATTGAACAAAATTCTATTTTATACTTAATTGGATTTTCAAAAGTAAACAACTTATATATATCTGTAAGTATATTACTTTATTTGAAAGAAATTTATAGGTTAAAAACTAATACAATTTTAGTATTTTATCTTTTTTCACAGCAAATTCAAATTGTATACTTACATATGGGTAATGAAATTATTATTTAGAGATTAAAATTTAGGGCTAAGAATTTTTGAAAAAAATAATGATTATTCTTTAGGATTATTTTAAAATTAGTAGTGTTGAACTGAATGTTTGGTATTTGGCTATATTCAGCCACAAAGTAACTTATTCAGTACTTGGCTAAATACTAAATATATATATTTGATATGCAGATTGAATACTTCCTTAAAGCTAAACTATTTGGCTGAATAATCTCATTTTAGTTGAGAGAGAGAGAGAGAGAGAGAGAAAGGAAAGAAAAATAAAACAGAATAAAACGAAAAGAACATTTAAAAACTCAGATATTTAAAAATATTGTTATTTATTCCTTTCTGAAACAAATAACTAATAAATGATATTAAGCAAATAATATTTATTAATAATTACAAGCAATTACCGCAGTAAAACTGGAGAGGAATACAATTCACCACCACAGTAACTTGACCTAGTCTAGCACTAGGTTACTTCTCTGAAAACACTAACGTTTTCAATCTTCTCCTAAGATCATCTTTAGGTATTATTCGAAAATGGAACAGATGATATTTCCACCAAACAACTTAGAGAATTGGAAGCCCTTGAGATCTTTAAAGCTGACCAACATGGATGCTGCATTAATTATAAAGAAGAGAAATACATTTCTCATGCTCAGCAAGTGCATTTTGATAAATGTTTATGATTTAATTATGTCAACAACTATATGCATCTGATTAGTAGTTTCAAATTTAAAGTACATCTTGTTCTTTAGACTGTTCCATTTTTGAACAATACTTGAATTTCTTAGAAGATTGAAAAATGTTAGTTTTTCCAGAGAAGTAACCTGGTACTGGACCAGATCAAAGTACTGTGGTGATATATTTTAATAATTACAATTCAAGAGTGATAAATTGTAATGAAGGAATAGTAATGCTTCTGCATTCATAAAAAGCAAGTGATTTTGTTGTTATCATAAATACCTCCAGCTTTGTTGAACATATTGTATGTACACAAAATATACTACTGTGGTGGGTGAAGAGGACAATAAAAAAAGGATTACAAAGAAGTAACTATAAATTAAACAGGATTTTATTTAACTACAGTTACGTGGTCCTTCGTACACCTGGTTCGTTTACACTAAAGACACTTGATCCCAAACTATAGTACGCACACAAGTTCGAAGCCGTCCAACAAATTCTATATGCTTTCACAGGCAGGAGACACGTGTTCGCGACAATGCAAAATTATGGTTTGAGAGATACTACAACTAACTTAAATCTACCTTAATCTAACTTATATGCTAAGGAAGAAGGGGGAAGAAATTAAAAGATACGAAGAGAAGAGACAAGTATAAAGAACAGATTTGTGGGGGTACCCAGGTAAATTTGGCAGTCTCCGATCTTCTCTATATCGGTACTTGAGTCAATTTCCTTCCTCTCGTTTCCATCTCTTGAGAATTCGAGAGCGTTTTTGAAGTCTTAATCTGGGTGTCCTTCTAATTTTCGTCCGTTCGCAGACAACTTCCAAGCCTNAACTGGTAGGTTACGACGAAATTGAAGTTTCAATTTTAAAATGTATTGGCTATATCTTGTCAAAACCACTAGCTTATATTTTTAACTTGTCAATATATCCGGGAATACACTCAGATAAGCAAAAAAAAAAAAAAAACACGATAATCTATACGCCTACCGTAACAAGCAAGTTTAGAATTACAGTGCTTTTCCAATATGCATTTTTTTTTATTTCTTTTTGTATTACAACTTTTTATATTTTTCTTATAATGAAGATCGATTGTAAGATATAACATTATGCTAAATATAGCGCGAATTATTCTGTAAATCTGTTAAATCAGTAGAAAGTAATTTTAAACTTTGATTGGGAATGATTGATGTGATAGAAGTTAATTTAATTAATAAGCTGTAAATACATAGATAAATATAATCTTTAGGTTATATATTAATAGATGAATATTATGTTATTATATTATATTAACGGCGAAATAATTTAAAATACACTTGAAGTATTAAATTTCGCAAAACTTCTTGAATACTTTATTATAATCGCATGTTTCAATTTAATATTAGTAAAATCATTTTTCCTCTTAATTATTATTAATATGAAAATTTTATTAAATTCGTGACTAGTTAAATTGTTATTAATATAATCTTTAGCTTTCATATTAAATAGGGACAACAAATTATAAAATAATTGATTAGTTCTAATAATAAATATTTATCAGTTTAGGCGTATATCAATTATATTATAGTATTCAGACATTTATTAGTTATATTATAATAATAAACATTCCTATCTAAAGAAAGTTCTAAAA